ATTAATATTTTTATTTAAAAACTAATAAAATTAACTTTTTTAAATCAAAGAAACATAAAGTTGAAATCCTTATTTATACATTTTTTCTATGTTTTTGTTTATGTAAATTATGCGATTTGAAGGATTCATAATCTGTAGCGAAAAATTCTATAAGATATCCGAGATTGATTCTTCCGAATTAGTCCCTATCAAGAATTTGATCTCCGTAAACAACTATTAATTCTTTCCTTTGTCTTACATAAATTATTACATAACAAACAATTGACAATTTAGATAAGATCGACTTACATATGTTCAAGCACATCAACCTTTCCGACTTTCATTTATGATTCGGAATCTTTTTTGTTTGTGTTATGCTTATTTGTTTCGGAGGAGAATGCAGTGCACACTATAATCCATGTCGATGGAGAGAAGAAGGATTCCGAGGGTGGTCACCAAGAGATTCCTCTTTCGGATACAGAACAGGAGAGCATTGCAGTATCCGATAATTCTGCGAGAGGTCACCAAGAGATTCTTCTTTCGGATACAGAAGAGGAAAGCATTGCATTTTCCGATGATTATTCTGTAGCTGAAGAAGGTCTATTGCCTAGTACTGACTCCTCCCCTTGGAATGATTCAGAAAGCATGAGCAACAGTGATGATGAAGAGAAGTCATTCTCAACGCCAACGGAATCATCGTTGTCCACTGTATCATCAACAGATGATGAAGAGGAAGATTCATCAATCCAATCATCACATCATTGATGTGGTAGGGAGCTGAAGAATTTCCATTGCCTAGAAATGACTCTGATGAAGAAAAGTCATTCTCAACGCCAACGGAATCATCGTTGTCCACTGTGTCATCAACAGATGATGAAGAGGAATATTCATCAACCCAATCATCAATGTTGTCGGCAGCTGAAGAATTTTCATTGCACATGTTAGAATATCAGTATTTATTTCAAAATATTAGAATTTATGTCAAAATATTAAAATTTATGTTAGAATATTATATTTACATTGTAATTAATTATATACATTTAAATTAATTGGTTTTATGCCCAAAAATATTGTATTGTATAAATTTATATATAGGATCTTTATATATACAATAAAAATAAAAAAACAAAAATTTTTCAAATATTTCTTCTTTTTTTTTTCTATTTCTAATATGGTATTAGACATATGAGCCCATGATTCTCTTTCTTCGTCACTGTTTGATTTTTGAGTTGGATTTTCAAATCCATTACGAATTTGAAACTCAGTCCTTAGGATCTCTTTCCCTACATATTAGATTGTTTTTGAGTTGGCTTGTCTCTCGTCCAAACAGAAAATTCTGTTCTCGTCAAATAATTAACTTCAGACTATAATGACCAACTAAATCAAATTAATAAGAAGTGAAGAAATAATTAAATCCATTTTTTATTCCAACTTTTTGTATACAGGTGAATCTGCAAAGTTGATAATTAACTTGAATTATAGATAAGAGGAAATAAAAAAAAAAAAAAAAGGAAGAAGAAGAAGAAGTTAGGAATTACCGAAAGTGTCATCACCCTCAGAGCTGCAGGAAGAAAACAACTGCCGTCTACCTTTACAATCACCATGCAGCTTTCCGCTGTTGCTTCCACCTGCAATATATATGGAAAGCAGAGAGACTTAATACCTGTGGAGGTTAAAGAGAATCCAGAATTAATTCCAAGAAGTTGGGATTTGAGCATCAGGCTTTTGGATTAAACAATGGACCTTTTTACTTATTTCCACGGAGAAATCCTCGGTTTATATGGAGCAAAGCTTTTGATCTTCCTGTATACTAGTACTAGACAGGAGTCCAACCAATTCTGTGTGTCATCAGATAAAAAATTCATGAAAATTTGACCCCAATGCCAAACAAAATTAAGTTGTCATGATATTCATGAACTGGAAAATAGATAATTTCATAGAATCTATCAAAATCAAACCCATTTATTGGGATTCCATTTTCCATTTTCAAGTAGGATTGAAGAACGTAACTTTTTACATGAAAGAATCTCCTACTTTTACAGGATATATGATGAATGCCAATGGGGTAGCTACTTGCTTTAACATTTTGGAAGCCAATGCAAGATCGATTAAAAAGAAACACAGAATTAATATGTAATAGGATTAAGTGAAATCATCAACAGAGGGAGGGGGAGTACCAAAAGAATAGCAGTGAGCTTACCTTGGGTTTGCATCGATGTTTGCAGGTATGGCAATGTTGCCTGCTGCTTTTATTTTGGTAAAGAAACTTGGGAGGGAAGGGAAGGAATGGAACTGTCACCTTCATCGTGAAAAGAAGAGAAAAGAAAAAGATTACTCAGTGATTGACTTCCCTTTAGAAATCAAAAACTTAGCCCTTAAGGACTTTGAGGATTGGGGAAGTAGTGGCGGAGATGGTGGAGTTTGGGTTCCACAAACAAAAGCAACATTGAATTCCACTCAATCATTTTTGGGTATTGGTTTAGGAGAGTCTCCTCATTTTTGTTAAAGTAAGCCTCTCTTTTTTCTTTTTTC